CGCACAGCCCCGCGCGCCGGGGGCACCCGCCGGGGGCGGCCGCAGTCGCGCTGCAGCAGGACCCGAGGTCGTGCGCGTTCTCAGCGTTCGTTTCCGCTTGAATGGGAAAGGGGCAATTTTGGGCAGTTGTTGCAGTTCTGCGTCTCATATTATTATTAACATCTCCCTCTGACGTCCGTTCCAAGTTGAAAACTGCAGGCTGAGAATGCCTCCAAGGTTCTTCCCGTGCAGTGTTCTTTGAGACAATTCTTAAAATATATTTTATTCCTGCATGCTAATTTTATAAAATACTAGATTTCAATGTGCTTTCATACATTCATGTAACGTTTTGATCATTTCCGTCTCCCCATACTTTCCCTTACACACACCCTTTCCCTTTGTCCTTATTCCCTGTCTTTTGTCTAATAATAGTCTTTCTACTATTTTCCTCTGTCTCTGTGTCTTTTTCTTTTTTTCTAGATTCTAGATATCAGGGAAAATACATATTATTTGCTGCTTGCCCTCCGAGTCTGGTTTATTTCATTTAGCATGATGATCTATAGTTCCATCCGTTTTTCTGCCTATGACATAATTTCATTCTTCTTTGTGGCTGAGTACCACTATGCTATGTGAATACACGCCACATTTTCTTTATCCTTTCATCTGTTGATGGGTACCTAGGCTGGTTCTTTATCTCGGCTGTTTGGATTTTACCACCATAAACATGAGTATGTAGCTCTTCCCATAGTATGCTGACATTAAATCCTTCGTGTAACTAAGAGGGGTGATACAGCTGGGTTATATGGTTGTATTTTTAGTTGAGGAGCCTCGGTACTGATTTCCAAAGTAGCTATACTAAAGTACTTGCCCAGCAAAAGTGTAGAAGGGTTCTTTTGCCCCCACATTTGCAACAGGTTTTATTTTTTTATATTTTTAAGAATAGTCATTTTGACTGGGCTTAGATGGAATCTCAATGTCATTTTTTCCGACTTTTTATACAGTTTAATTATTTTTATTTTTAAAAATTCATACTTACACGTAACACACTTTTGCCCCCCATCGTATTTATCCCGTGACCCACCCTTACACCTTTGCACTTCCTCTGCATCTTATTCCCCTCCCTGTCTAGTTACAGTACCTACTTTTTTGTCATTTTTTTTTTAGGTCGCACATATTAGATTATATAGAGGAACTCAAATGACAAATTTGCATTCTTTTATTTGATCTAATGATAAAATCAAAATTGACCACTTGATAAAGGTTTTATTTTGAAGAACAAATTATTTCTTTAATTGATTTATTTAAATAATTCGAATATCAAAATATCCATCAGAAGAAATTAGAAGAACTGATTATTGTACCTGAAAAACAGCAGGACAGTGCTTAATTTTTCAAAAGTATTTCAGTGTCAGAAATTAGTGTTCAATTAGGGTTCTGCCCTTGTGGAAGGAAAATAACTTCAGAATGATGGATTTAACTATTAAAATATTATTTCATTGATTATCAGTTATTTAGTACAATGTCTTTGTTCTCTATCATCAAGCAACAACTAAGATAAATTTTCTGATTTCTTCGTTTCAGATTGATGTACAGCTATATATTTTGTCATTTCTTTCACCACACGATCTTTGTCAGTTGGGAAGTACAAATCATTATTGGAATGAAATTGTGCGGGATCCAATTCTGTGGAGATACTTTCTTTTACGGGATCTGCCTTGTTGGTCTTCTGTTGACTGGAAGTCTCTTCCAGATCTAGAAATCTTAAAAAAGCCTGTATCTGAAGTCACTGGGAGTACGTTATGTGATTACATGGCAGTGTAAGTATCCATTTTTATAATAATTTTATTCTACCAATAGTCAATGTTAGTCCTGGCCCCACTACTAATTTGTTGCATGGATTTTGGGTCTAAGGGTTGGTCCTCTTCTCACAACAGGGGGTTGACTTAACTGTTTTCCTTCGTAGAAGCACCTTAGCTTTGACATTATTTCCCAAGGTTGCCTAATACTGGAATAATTATATGTGGTACAAATGGCAAGAAATAAAATACTTGCTAAAATTTTTATTCTCTTTAGAACACTTGTCATTATGTTAAATAGTAAATAACTTTCCATGTTGAGAAAAGGAATGACTAAAGATCAGGAAGCAGTCTTTCGGCAGGGAAGAAAAAATAAGATTTTATCACTTAAAAGCGTTGACATTTATTAGTACAGTGTACATAAGAGAATTACAGTGACTGCTGACTTACTGTACTGGATTGTGTGGGGGATTCTTTGTGTGTGTTAACTTATTTAATCCTCAAGCAACATCTTTTTTATATTATGGATGTAGAATAAAAGTTCAAAGAGTTAATGTGGTTTGCCTAAGTTCATAGTTTTTAAGGGACTATTCAAATGGAATCCATCATGCTACCTCAAAGATAAATATGGCTACTGGATCTGAATATAACCACCTTTACTGAGAACTCTGAGGTTAAGGGATTGTAAAAGAAATTAAAAGAGTTTTTATGCTCTAAGTAAGAATTATTTTGCAGTGCTAGATTCAGTAGCTACAAATAAGACTTTTCCCCAATTTTATTCCAGATCATGAACCTAGTTCATCAAAATGTACATGATTTGTTGTGTATAATCTCAGCAAACACCACTGCCACAGAGCCAACTGTAGCATCAAATTTATTGTGTAATGAGGCACCAGATTTTCCCCAGGGAATAGTAATAATCACAGTAACTACCATATATGATCAGATAAATTATTTATAATCTTTACAATCCTGTGATTTTATTGCTGTTACTGTGGAATACTATCCAATGGGAACACAGGCTCCTGAAAATATTATGGTGTGTCTACATCCACTATATTCACTGAATCTGGCACCTTGTGATTTCTAGCTCTTCCCCAAAGTCAAAATTACCGTGGAAGATAAACTGAATTGTCTTAGAACACTGAGGTGGTGCAACTAAAGACAAAAGAGAACTTCCATAACTGCTTCCGGGAGTGGCAAGAATGATGGGCTAAGTGTGTTCAAAGCAAGGGGGAATAATGTTAATATACCTTTTATTGAAAAAGAATTTAAATTTAAATATTCACCTTTTTTTCTGATCAGACCTTATGACTAATGTAGTGAAGCTCTCCTAGGTCCATCTAACTTCAAAGTTAGTTGTGTTTTGCTTTTTGCTTTTGTGACCTATAAAGTTCCTAATACAGATAATTTTGTTAGGGTAGTGATTGTCTTTGCCAGTATGGTTTATTTAAAAGGCTTTAGGTTTTATTTTGATTTGGGCAATTTTATTTTAATTTCTGATATAATGCAAAATTGCTATTTTAGAGATTAATATCTATTAAAAGAAACTGAAATTGCTTCTTTCATAAAATTCTGTTTCCTAAGTGTTCTGTAAGGAGCATTTGAGCCTCCTTCCATATTTAACATTTAGTGAGCTTTTACATTTGAGGTTGTTGAAAGATGTACTTAAGAAATTTGATTGTATGGATAGCCTCAGCAAATTTTTTCAATTTCTAGGGAAATTATGCTAACTTCTGTATAACTTATCTTTATTGTTCTGGTATGGGGAAGTAAAAACTTCCAACTGAGGTCTACTACCCTATGTAGTGAATGTTGACCATTGGAATAAGTGTTAGACCAAGTGTCCCTGCGAAAATCTACATGAAAGGCCAGGAAGTCAGTCTCCACTTGTCTTTTTCCCTATCACTGCACTCCACATACATTTATAGTGGTGTTTATCCCCCAGTGCATCTCCTGAGGATTGGGACTATATAATCCTTATATTCTTCTGCCTAGCAAGTTTTCAATAAGTTGTATATTCTTGAATGAACAACTGGCTAAATCTCCTCTCTCTTAATTTCTAATTGTGACAATTTTATACAGTTATAAAATGTGCTGTCCATACACAAGAAGAGTTTTGAAATCGAGCCGTCCTATGTATGGAGCCGTCACCTCCTTTTTACATTCGTTGATCATTCAGAGTGAACCACGGTTTGCTATGTTTGGACCAGGTTTAGAAGAACTGAATACGTCTTTGGTGTTGAGCTTGATGTCTTCTGAAGAACTTAGTCCAACTGCTGGTTTACCTCATAGACAAATTGATGGTAATTTTCATCTTACTCTACATAATAATTCAGACACTTTGAGCTGGACACCAGTATTAGAGAGAAAGAAATTCATTTTTAATGAATTCTTGTGTAATGAAATACAGTAATCTGGAGGATGTCCTCCCCATCCTAGCCCCCAGGTCCCACTGGACTGAAACAATTACTTTAGTTATTATAAGAAGTTTCCTCTTAATTCCTCAAATTTATATAATACAGAATTTAATATGTGAAAGTAAATTGTTGTCAGGGTGCTGTTTAAAAAAGAGCTAAATAAGCACTTTCCCTGGTATGAAAAAAGAAACGTAATTATTTGACAAGGTGCAATATATTATAATAATATAATTTAGCTTCTGCTTTATTATATATTGGGAATACTTTTTAGATGCTAAGATTGCAGAGATGTTGAACAAATAGTGTAAAAATTCTCTGTCCCTTGCAAATATTTTTGGTCTGAGGACAAGGATAAGCAGATAGATGAATAGAATTTGATATAATTAGCTCCTGGGTAGAAAAGGAAGGATCAGAGAAGAAAATTTGCGATTATAAAATTCCATCCTCCAGATAGCAGCTGAACTGATTCCTTAAAAATGCTAATCTACTTAGGCCTCAAATCTTACAAGATCAGAGAAGAATATGCGTTACATCATTGGCAAAGAAGTGCAAAATGGTATGGGCCAGTCTTGGCTGATGGTAGATGTGTCGAGAGGTAATTTATGGGAGTTAAGTTGTAGAAAATGGTGTTCAAAAACATGGTTGATTTTGTTTTCATGTTTCTCTTGTGGAGTATGCACCCTGCCTGGTGGCTACAGGACAAGGATCATGTAGTCTGGGATGATTATAGTCTCAGCTATCAAGAATCCCAACTCTGAATCCATGTGCTGCCTGGAATGGTGATGTGAGATGGCATGACAAATCTTATTTAAACAAACTAATTGATATAGTGCAATTGAAAGTGTATCTCGTGATGATCTCAAGGGAAGCTCAAGGTCCCTCCTACAGTTGTATCTCATGAAGTAAATAGGGGCCAGATTTTATTAAAGTTTTATTTTTCTGCCTGAAGGGCCACAGCATTTTACAGTAGAGATATAATTATAATTATTATTAAGCAATTTCTCCAACTTCTCTCAGAAGAAAGGATAATTGGAGGCAAAAAGATATAGGAGACTGAAGTGATTGCAGAAGTCCAAATGAGAGATGATGATAATTTGGACTAAAAGTGAGAATGCTGATGGTCAAAGTGAACTGAAATAAAGATATTTATGTATAAGAAGAAGTTGTAGAGCCACAGAACCCAAGCAGGATTTTTCCAGGAGGTTGGAAGGGAAATACCAGGTCCTGAATGTTGACACACCCAAAGGAGGGAAGAGGTTAAGAAAGACAGACAAATGGCAGTGTTGAATTGCTCAGAAGTAAAGTACTAAGAAGCTAATGTTTAGCACTTGTTTTTTACCAGTCATTCAACCAAGAATTTTAGATATGGCATCTCAATCCTCACACCCTAAAAAGTACAGATAATTTTTATGCTTTTGTGTCAAAACAGATGATGTTGATAATGATGACATAAAAAGACCCTGATGAACCTAGCAGTTGTCTGTTCTCTACCCATATTTTTATTATCATGACAATGAAAGTTCCATATAGCATCTTCTTTTCAACATGAACATTGCATTTTATTTCAAGGCTGTATATAATCTGTAGTTTTTCTTTGATAATTCTGCTTTCACTGGGTGACAGACATTTTTTAGTCTGATCTTTTGTCATTATTTATTGACTTGTTTTGCTAATTATAGTTTTCTTCTTTAGGTATTGGATCAGGAGTCAGCTTTCAGTTGAGCAATCAACATAAATTCAATATCCTGATACTGTATTCAACTACTAGGTAAATTCAATGTACTATATTATATTCAACTACCAAGTAAGTCTACCTAGTTGGTGACCTACCTAAGACTTACCTGAAACATACCTAGAACTTACCTAAAATTTTTAGGAGCATGGAATCTGCTTAGTGTCCAAGTAATAATATATTTTTACTTTTTCCATATAGAAAGGAAAGGGATAGAGCAAGGGAAGAACATACAAGTGCAGTTAACAAGATGTTCAACCTACAGCTTGAAGGAGATGACCAACAAAGAAGCCGATACAGTGTAATTCCACAAATTCAGAAGGTCTGTGAAGTTGTAGATGGGTTCATCTATGTTGCAAATGCTGAAGCTCATAAAAGTAAGGATACTCTATTTTCTTTTCAAAAGCATCATTCTTTGCAAACCAAACAAATAAGAAAATGACTTTTAGATATTTACTATGTTATCTTAAAAATCTGATAATTTTGTCACTCTGATTTTCTGGCCATTAGCGTTAACAGTGGTTTCTCAAATGTTGATTTGCATTAGGATCATCTAGTGATCCTGTTAAACATATAGCCCAGTTCCTATCCTGGTGGACTGTGGTTCATAGATTTGGGGTGCATCATGGAAATACGTTTTTACCAGTACCTGAAGGAGATTTGATACACATCAAAGTTTGATATTATAGTTATATGATGTTTTCTTTTGGTATACTTCTCATTTTTTATTACTGACATTTTCTGTCTGTAACTATATTTAAATAATTTATGCAAAACACTTGCTCTTTCATTCAGAACAAGGTAGCACAGCCCACTGCTAAAGGCTCTTTCATTCAGAACAAAAAGGCAAAGTGTGAATGAATGTGCCCTCACTTGGAAAAAGCAAAAGAAAGAGAATCTCTTCCCAAAAAACCTTTCTCTACTTCCATTAATTCATTCATGAGGCCAAACCACTTAAAACCTAAAGACCTCCTAAAAATTTCCACCTTCTATTAGTACATGTTTGTAGTACATAATGTTTACATTCCTTGTGGGAATTGATACATGTGCATGTTACATCTTAATTACTTTTTTATCCCCCTTTCCTTTCCTCCTTCCCCCTTCCATCCATTTCTTGACTCCCCCTTCCTTTTTTCTAATAAAAAATTTAAAAAGAAGTAGCATTGCTAATCTTTCTAATTAAATTTGTATCTATATATATATATAATATATATACATATATATATAAAATGTGTCTATTCAATAGATCTCACTGTAAGAAATTTTAAAGGAAATTCTTCAAGCAAAATAATAGCAGGTGGAAATTTGCATCTACAAAAATAAATGAAGAACCCTGAAATGTAAATAATATAGCTACATTTACAAAAGTTTTTTTTTCTAATTTGATTCAAAATTACTTAAAGGAAAATTAATGGATTATGGGTATATGGAATTTTAAAGCAAATATAATAGAACACATCATAAAAGGAAATTGGAATATATTGTAGACTTTTTCTATTTGTAAAATATGTTTTTTAAAAGTAGACTTAAGAAAATTTATTACAAATCCTTTAATAACTAAAGAAAGTATAATGTAGTTATAACTAAACAATCCAGTAATAAAATCATAAAAACTCAATTCGAAAGAAGGAAAGCAAAAAGGGGAAAAGGAATGAAGAACAGGTTGGACAGTCAAAATCTAAGGTAAATGATAGATTTAAATATACCATGTTGGTAATCACATTAAGATTTTATTCACTTTCAATTAATATAAAGCTATCTCAAATTTAGTGGCTTAAAACTACTCCTATTTTTTTTTTTTGTTTTTTTTTTTTTTCATGCCTCTATTTGTTTTCCTGAGAAACCACTTTGAAGATATCAATAGGTAATACAATGACCATTGTTAATTTCCTAAAACAACTCCTATTTGAGCACAGTTCTTTGTGTCAGAAGTGTAGATGTGGTAGAGTGTGTTCTCTTCTTATGGTTGAAGTTAAAGTATCAGATGGATTGTATACTCTTCAGGAGGCTCTGAGGAAGAATCCACTTCTAAGCTCACTAAACCCTGGGCTGAATTCAGTTCCTTATTGTTATAAGACTGATGTCCCAAGTTTTTTGGGGGCTGTTAGTTGGAGACTGCTCACTTGGAGGCTTCCTGAAATTCCTTGTCATATGGCTTCCTCCATCTTCAAATCCAGAAATGGAGACAATCTCTCATCTAATCTTTCTCAACAGGAAGAACCCTTTTTAAGGGTTCATCTTATTAGCTCAGGCTCTCAGAGTTAGCTGTGTCTTAAAACCCAGTCCTAGGAGTGATATATAATTTTACATGTTCTCCATCCTCAAGGAGGAAAGGATTTATACAGGTGCCCTGAGTTCATTTTAGAATTCTGCTTTCCACATTGTATCAATAGTTTAAACATTCAATAAAAAGTAGATATTTTTAGTTCAGATTTTTTAAAAAGCTAGATCCAACTGTATTCTTAAAATCTGAAAATAAAACAGCTATAGAGCCGGGGATATAGCTCAGTGTCATAGCGCCTGCCTGGCAAGTGCAAGGTCCTGAGTTTGATTCCTGCTACCAAAAAAAAAAAAAAAAAAAAAAAAAAAAAAATATATATATATATATATATATACACATATATATATATAATAGCTATAGATTTTTGAAAAAAAGATCTATATCAAGAATTTTTTCTTTGCAACTGTAGAGACATTTGAACACTGTTGTGATTTTTTTTTTCCCTCTTGCTTCAGCTAAATCATCCTCAGCTACTTGATCTAGCTTTATGGCAGAACAGTGAATGAAGATCAGCAATAAAGACAGTTTGTTAGGTTTGAATCATGGTACATTTTTTGTTAGCTTATTTTGTTAATTACCATTTTATTTTACTATTTTAAAAACTATTAGTTAAAAATGAAAATTAATACATCTGACGTATTTTCTTTAGGACATGAATGGGAAGATGAATTTTCTCATATTATGGCAATGACAGATCCGGCTTTTGGATCTTTAGGAAGACCAATGCTGGTTTTATCTTGTATTTCTGAAGCACATGTGAAAAGAATGCCCTGTTTTTATTTGGCCCATGAGCTGCATCTCAGTCGTATAAACCACCCTTGGATGGTAAGGCCTTAGCTTTTCTGGTGATAAAAATTCCATTTTTTATTCTATTTTCCATTCGATTTTTGTGTTAGCTTTCTGTGTATGTAACAAATTACCTGAGGCAACCTAATTACAAAGATAAGAGGAGTCAGGTGTGGTGGTGCACACCTGTAATCTCAGCACTCTGGGAGTTTAAAGGAGGAGGAGTGAAAGTTTGTGGCCAGCCTGAACAACCTAGCAGTTTAGTGAGAATTTGTCTCAAAAAAAAAAGAGCCTGTGTTCAATCCCTAATATTGCAGGAATTTTTTTTAAATTTTGGCTTAGTTTGGAAACTTTCAGTCCATAGTTGGTTTGTTCTGTTGCTGATCCAGGAATGAAAGAAGAAGAGAGAAAAGAAACGGCTGATATACAATATTGCCTTTAAGGAAGCCCCAGTACCAGATCTCCCATTAGGGCCCATCTCTTAAGTTTCAACACTTTCTTTCTTTTTTTTCATCAGGTGGGGACCAAGCAAACCTTTAACAGGTGGACCTTTGGGGCATTTATCCAAACCACACTAGTTTTGTTTTTGCTTATCCATACTCTTTAACAGACTAGCATTTAATATAAGTTTTAAGAGTTTAATTGATAAGAGCTATTTAACTGGTGTTAATCAATCTCAGATGATCTGTCCTTGCCTCTATACCTGCTCCCCACTTGTCTCTCTTGTCATAGCAACAGCATTGAGATATTATGCCTTAAGAATTATAAAAACAGTAGTTGTGGATGCTGCTGAGTGGTAAGAGTGCTTGCTTGCATGCATGAGGCCCTAGGTTTGATCTCCAGAACCACCAAAAACATGCTTAAAAAAGATTATATCTTATAGTTTATTGCTTCCCCAAATTTAGTTTAATTATAAGATCCTTTCTTCAAATGAAATCTGACATGAAAAACACCTATGTATAAAACATTTTAAAAATTAAAGTTGGAAATGTTTTTGCTGAAAAGTTTAGAGAATTTTCTTTGTTCCTGCCTATCTTTTGTCCCTGGTGCTCTAGCAACTCTTTGGAATACAGTGTGAAGGCCAGTAATAAAGGTGTATCCTCCTGAATGGTGGGAGTTTTAGCCCTACAATTAGAAGTGGCAGTTTTCAATACGCGTTTTTAAATGATTAAACTTATTTTTAATGGCTATATAAAAACATATATCATTTTTATATATAAAAATGATACAAAGTAGTGGAGTGCCATGTGATATTTCAACACATGTATACACTGTGAAATACCTGAAGTTAAGCATACTGTTTTCTTCAAACATGCATTATTTCTTTATAATGAAAATGTTCAAACATCCTTATTTCTACCTTTTTAAAATATCCCACCTCAGAACTCCTTACCTCTGTGTAACAATAGCGGTACTATTGGTTAGCCTTTCTCTGTCTTCTTTTCTACTCCTCCCCAACCTCTGGATCTACTCGCAGCTTTTTCAGATTCCACATATAAGTGAGATCATTTGGTATGTGTTTTTCTGTGTCTGGCTTATTTCACATAACATAATGATTTTCACTTCATGTTGATGTCACAAATTATTATTGTGGCTATTATTCTATTGTTATTCTTTTATTCCAGAAGAATATTACTCTATTGTGTACATATACCTATATTTCTTTATCCATTTATTAGTTGATTCCGTGTCTTGATAGTTGTGAATGGCACTGCAGTGAGAGTACAATGGAAGTACAATGTCTCTCTGACATTTCATGTCCTTTGGATACATACACCTATTAGTAGAATTGCTGCATTGTATGGTAGTTATATTTCTAATTTTTGAGGAATCTCCATATTGTTTTCCATAATTATTGTGCTGATTTACATTTCCACCAAGAGTGTACATGGATTCCCTTTTCTCCACATGTGGACCAGAACTTGTTGTGTTTTGCCTTTCAGATAATAGGTATCGAATGAAGAAGTATATCATTATGTGTTTGATTTTTAGTTCTCTGATATCAAGATGTTAAACATTTTTTTCATGTACTTATTGGCCATTTGTATTCTTTTTTAAAAATGTCTAAGTCAGTGTCTATTTTTTGTATTTCTTTTTTTATTATTTTATGGGTAAATGTTTGTGTATCTAGTATTTCCATTCCTTGTGGGGAGTTGGTACATGTGCCTAATACCTCTTAATTCCTTTTTTGTCCAGTTTTCCCTTCCTCCCTCTTCCCTCCATCCATCTCTTGATTCCCTTCTCCTTTTCGGTACATGTTTGCAATACATGATGTTTATATTCCTTATGTGGAGTTGTACATGTACATAATGCATCTTAATTCCTTTTACCATTCCTTTTCTCCCTCCCTCTCACCCCCTCCTCCTATTTTTTGACCCTTTTTCCTTTTGAGAAAGATCTACCTCCATACTTCCTATTTTATTTTTCTCTGTTTATACTTTGGGTTTCTCATATCAGAGAAAATATGCAATATTTAATCTTGTGTATCTGATTTATTTCCCTTAACATTATGCTCTCAAGAGACCTCCATTTTCCTACAAATGACTCGTTTATTTTTCCTTATGGCAGAGTGGTTTCTTCATTGTGTATAAATACCATACTTTCTTTATCCATTCATCTATTGATGTACATTCAGGCCACTTCCAAGATTTAGCTATTATGAATTGTGCTGCTGTAAACATGGGAATGCATATATCACTGTAATATGATGTCTTTAACTCTTTAGGGAAGATACTTAGAAAGAGACTAGCTGGATCAGTTTTTTGAGGAATCTCCATACTGATTTTCAAAGTGGTTGTATTAGTTTCTTTACCACCAGAGTGTAAGCACTTGCAAGCCCCATCAGCATTTGTTATTACTTGATCTTGATGATGGCCATTCTTTCTGTGGTAAGGTGAATCTCAGTGTTGTTTTAATGTGCATTTCACTAATGGCCAGGGATGCTGAGCATTTTTTCATATATTTGTTCATCATTTGTACTTCTGTAAAGTATCTGTTCATTTCAGTTGCCCATTTTTGTTGTTTTATTTGGGGGGGAATCTAATTTTTTTTTATTTCTTTACATATTCTAGATACTAGTCCTCTGAGAAATAGCTAGCAAAAAATTTTTCCTATCCTGTAAGTTGTCTTTTCACTCAATTGGTTGTTTCTTTTGCTATGCAGAAGCTTTTTAATTAGGTATGATCCAATGTCTTGATTTTTGGCACCATAACTTCTCTTGCTGTTGAGATTTTGGAGTTCCTGATATATTTTATATACCAACTGTCTTGGTTACTTTGCCGTCATTGCTGAGACAAAATACCCAGTGCCCAAAATTAATGAAGGAAAGGTTTATTTAGCTCACAGTTTGTGTGGAAGTTTCAGTCTATAATCAGCCGGCTCCAAGGCAGGGTGGCAGGGCACAGGGGCAACACTTCAAGACAGCACAACACAACAAAAGCAGTAAGAACAAAAAGGGGTGGGAGGGGGAGTAAGCCTCTTTCCGTCCCTTATATTGTATGCAGGCCATCTGCCCTGGGGAGTGGTCCTTCACACCCATACCACCTCTATCTCTTCCTCTTCCACAAACTCCGGATGTTTACAAAGTAAGGACCCTGGCTCCCTGCTGAATTAAACTTCTAAACTTCTCAAGTTGACACAGTGTATCAACCATAACAGGAGACCTGTCAGAAGTATATTTTACAGATATTCTTCATGTTCTAAGTTGTCCCTTAATGCTGATGATTGTTTCCTTTGAAGTGTAGAAACATCAGTTTTATATAGTTGTTTCCTGTGATTTCAAGGTCTTGTACAAAATATACTTGCCCACTCCAGTGTAGTCAAGGATAACTCCTATGTTTTCCCTTAGCAGCTTCATTATTTCATGTCTTACATTTAAGTCTTTGTTCAACCTTAAATTCATTTTTGTAACTGGTGAAAGATAGGGATCTACATTTATTCTTCTACACATGAAAACACAATTTTCCCAGCACCATTTATTGGTGGTTGATTTTTCCAATACATTTTTTACAGAAACATTGTTGAAAATCAGTTGACTATGGTTGCATGGAGTTGTTTCTGGACTCTCAGTTCTAATCCACTGATATGTGTATCTGTTTTTACCGCTATACCATACTATTTTTATTTTGTTTTTTTTGAGACAGTTCAGACTGACCTTGAACTCCCTATGCAACCAGGGCTGGCCTCAAACTCACAGGAATCCTCCTGCTTCAGCCTCCTGAGTGCTGGGATTACTATGCACCACCATGCCTGGCCTATTTTTATTATTATTACTATAGTTTTATAGTATATTTTGAAGTAGCTATGTTTTGGTTTTTTTTCCTCAATCTCTAGGATTGTTTTTTTCTAGTTTTGTGAAAAACAACATTGATATTTTCATGAGGATCGCATTGAATCTTTAAATCACTTTGGCCATTATGGGCATTACAACATTAATTCCTCTTTTCTGTGAACATAAGAGGCCTTTCCTTTTTTGTGTACTCTTGAATTTGTTCCATCAGAGTTTTATAATTTTCATTATAGAGATACATGTTTTATTTTCTTGGTTAAATTTATTCCTAGATATTTTGTAACTATTGTGAGAGGAATTGCTTTTATAATATCCTTCTCAGCAGTCACATTATAATGTAGATAAAATTACCACTGATTTTTATATATTGTTTTTTGTCCTACCAATTTACCACATTTATCTGTTCTAATAATCTTTTAGTGAAGTATTTAGATTGTTCCATATAAACAATTACATAATTCATAAATAGCTTTCTCCCTTCTATTTGTATGACTTTTATTTCTTTCTGTTGCCTAATTGGTCTGGCTAAGAACTCTAGAACGATACTGAATAAGAACAGAGAGAGTGGACATTCCTTTTTTTCCCAGATCTTAGAGAAAAAGCTTTTTCTCCTGTTGCACAACTGTGGCAGTGGTGCCCCAGTTGAGGTAGCAGCAGCCACAATAGCTGAAGGCTCCCTTACATCAAAACCCTGTCTGCCCATGGCAACAGCCAGTTCCTTGTGCTCCAGCCTGGCAGCACTGTCCCCGGATGTATGGACAGCTAACGTGTGGATAATCACAGATTGTACCCTCTACCCTGTTGACTTCAACATTCAGAATGAGATGTACCCCATTGAGCAGAATATAGAGCAGACTGTCACCACTGGGAGGCTGCTGTATGATACATTTGCATTTCCCAGACCAGCCAAGGTATGGAGAGAAATCAACATTATTACTTACATAAGCATTAAAGAATAAGATAAATAAACCCAATTGGTAAGAAGTTTATTGGAAGCACTTCCTGGCAGAATCTAGTGTGAAATCTCATGAAAGGTCACAGAATAATGCTTCAACACATTGGAATGACCAGAAACGTCATTCTTACCTTTCTTGGTGCTTCCCTGAAACAGAGGTGTAACTGGGGAGGTACTATTATAAGCTGAAACTCTTGAAGAGCCAGAATATCCTGTTACTACTTTATAACATGATTGGTTTGTGATATGCCTTAATAATTAACAACCAAGATGTTTAGTTACCTGCCAATTTAGTATATAAATACTTGAACATGGCAGCTATATTTTATATCAACTATGTCACTAGGTATACTCAAAATGGAAATATAGCATAGGTGCCCAAGATATATCTAATTTAGTGTTGTCTAGCAAATGTAGCTCCCAGAAGTGTGTAGAAGGACTCACCTAAAAATCCTCCCAGATTATAGACCCTTGGAAGAAGTTGCTTAAGATTTTGAATATTGTTGGAATCAGATGTAAATGGCAAGATGGATAAAGGAAGATGAAGCTATAGTGCTATATTGCATAGAATGATCTCTACAGAAAATGAACAATTTTGATAATGAAACACATGCAGAATATAAAAACCAAGTAGTTTATTCCACTGTGTTGATGTTCTTTAAGAATGCATTTCAATATGTCAACAGCATACAGCCATCTCTTTTCCAAGGTCTAACTCTCCAAAATAAGTTTCACTGGTTCTTCCTGAAGATGTATCAAATGTATCTGGTGATATGGAAAATGATCACGATAAACACATAAATAAAAAGAGGAAATGAGCTGAGAGAAGAAAAACAAATCATGAGTCCAAATGATGAAGATTGTTCAGCAAAAGGTAGAAACTGTCACAGTGTAGTCAGTAGAGCAGAACTCACTAACTCTGCTCAAGTATTAGAAAACTAAATTGTTCAGGGAAAGCTGAAGAAGAACCAGTGGAACTTGG